ATAATTATTTGGTTACAAATAATTTGAAAGATTATTTTAAAAGTAAACTGGTACTTAATTACTAAATTCATTATGGTCATAAGTCATAAAGTTAATTAATGTTATTGGCAATATTAAATACCCAACTTTTTAAAATCAGTAATTTATTATACCTATAACGGTCGATTTGTTAATAGATTTAATAACTGTCATTTTATAAATTAATTTCTTTCATAACCTATCAACGAAATTTCAATTGGTGCGCTGACACCAGTCACCATCATTGTTTTTAGGGTAAATCCAAGGAAAATTTCTTCTTTTTGTTAAATGTCATGTCTCAAAAATTTTGTACTAAAAATTTTAACCGTTTCTATAAACACAAAAATATTATTGTATTATCAGTAGGATGGTGTATGCGTACAACAAATGAATGCACAAGTAGGGACCGTACTTAAAATAATCTCTGTCTGAAAACCAATTTACAAGTGAAATGTATCTAATGGGATAATAAATAAATAATATTCTTGCAAAACCCAAAGGCACCTTACTGTAAAAATGATTATTTTTCCTCTAAGGTTTCAACTCTCAAAAATTTATTGCAATGGTTTTTACAGTTAAAACTATGGTTAAAACGATATCTAGATTATAATAATATAAAGTTATGTGTTTTGATAACCAGTTTAGTACCCTCTCCTACATATAAAAGCTAATGTGTATAGTTTATTGTTTTACCACGCTATGCTTCTTTCATTACCAGAGTAAATTAAAGTCGTCGTTATTTCATTCCAATTTACATCTCCTGAATATGTTTTTCACACGAACCCATTTAAAGGTTTACTGCCGAAACTCATGCTATATGTTTTTGTATTCAATTAAATCATTAACAGTTGCTTTACCCCTAATTAGATGTAATCGCTTAAGTTTAATTTTAATCACCTCTAACTGCGAATTTGTTTCTTTTAATTTATTATGTTTTTATGTTCTGATGGTTTGTACAATATTAAAGGGACTCCTTCCATCTCTATTCCACGCTTTAATACTTTTAATATATTTAATTCTGCTGGGATGCCCTCTCAAACCACCTGTCACTGTATACAGCTTCATAAATGATTACAAGCTCCGCGTAACCGCCAAATTTTAGCTACCAACATTGCACTATTGGCATTACCAACTAAAAATCCCTAAATCTTAGCGCCAATGATACTAATGATTTGTTTACAGTGAACAACGACAAACTGTTGCGCTTACGTTCGAGATAACGCGATTGCTCGATTGGCTGAATGAAATGTGAAAAATTACAACCGGCGAAATGTTGTGTTTTAACGTAATCTTGATCTTACAGTTTTAATAATTTTTAATTTTACCAAAATTTAATCGCCAACGCGAAGGAGATAAAATTACTTTTATAATTATTAATTCTTTAAATTAGTGGTTACGTGACCTGTAACCATTTATAAAGGCTGTCTGTAACTAATTCCTAATAGAATAATTAATATGGAGCCAAACTTGCAATTTTTTAATTATAACGCTTTGGTACAAAATTTTTTGTAAAATTAAATTCGCTCTTAAATTTTTTCGCATTGTATTATTTTTTGAACACCATGTACATCAAAATTAAAATATTTCTATAAGAATGGGATTTTCTCAATAAGCAAACGTTTTTATGAAAACCGACTTTTGTCAAAACAATTAAAAATACAGTTTTCCTATCCGTTTAGTAATACGTGGACACTGTGTATATGGTTTTTCACTATTAACACAATAACAATTTTACATAATTAGAAATTTAAAAAATATATTATAAGATTTATAACAATATTGAATATGAGATGTATAACAATATTTGTTCAAAACGATAAAAAAACAGACTGACTCACTGAACCTCGCGAATTGTTTTTTATAAACAAATAAGTTACGGGGTAAAATAAATTAACCTGAATATTTTTTTCAGGATATATGTAAATGTATTAATCTTCAGAGATTTATATCTTGCCTAAGTTTGTTTTAGTTTTCTTGGGAATCTACGGTTCTATATAATTTTCCCGGTGTAACTTTGACAAAGTTGTCAGGGAATAAATTACGGTTTTGCGTGAAAAGATTAGAAATAAGAAATTAAGACAGCTCTACCGGTCTTTGTTCTTTGTGGAATCACGAACCGTCTTTCACGAAATGTTGAAATATTTTTTCTGTCTACCAAAAGTAGGTACTTAATAATTAGAATTTCACCTACTGTTGACAAGTATATTAATAACGCTATAATTTAAAATGTTAAAAGATAAGTTTTCATTTTTTTTTATAGAAATTTTTAAAATATATTTTTATTTATGATTTTATGCATGAAATGTGATATCTGTTTAACATACTTACCTTAAAACAGGGAGTAAAGTATCAGTTTGTGTCCCTTCAGGATTAAATTTGCTTGATTGAAGATGCAGGCTATTAAATGCCAAGAGAACTAATTATTTTTGTTCCTAGTGCATTAGAAATATTTCCAACAGACAGACGCAATCGCAATTGATACGAAACAATGAATTTTGAACGTTATGTAACCATCGGTTGATAGCCGCACGGTTTAAGGCGTCAGTACTTGAATCGATGTGTGCTATCTGCCCGGGTTTCGAATCCCGCGGCCGGTAGACCGTAGAATAGCTATGCTTGTACGGAGGATTGGCACCCTCTGTGCAGGTATGGTAGGGTGGAAGAATGTTGGCTTGGGTCAATATGAGAGATTGACACCGGTTGGCATTTGACCACCCCCCTAATTAATGAAGTTTTCCAGGTGTTCCTCATTCCTGCACTGAATGGTGGTTAGGGCCTACCAACATAAGTTGTTCCTGGGCGCAAATGCGGCCTGCTTAATAATAATATGCCGCCTCCTCTCCCGCACAAGTCTCCGACTTCTGGGCTAATTCTCGTAGTTAGAATGAGGAGTAGAGATATTATTATTATTATTATTATTATTATTATTATTATTATTATTATTATTATATTATAAGCCAATTATACAGGATGTCCTAGAATAACGTGTACAACAGAAGACCACAGATTCGTGGACTCAAAATAGGCAGATTTAGGCCAATTCACCTATATCCGAAATCGCTTCGTTTGGCCGCTAGATGACCTCAAAATTCGTGAAATTTTTTTTAATTTTGTAAATAACAAATATGTATTAATCGATTTTGATTATTTTTTGGGGGTGTGAACTTTTGCTTTCAATCTACCAATTTTGTTGTCTCTAAAACTCACAACTCCTACAAAATTGATGTATGGTGATAATCACCATTCATAACTTTTTCCTCTTTTGAACAATAATTAATAACTATTTTTTATTTGATAGGTGATACCATTTGGAAGTTTTTGGGCCTCTTATAGAAATTTGATTAAATAAATATTTTTTAAATGTCTACGTTATTGCGACCCATATTGTAATACTTAATAAAATGCTTAGTAGTCACTGATTTTGTAGGTTGACTGTAATTTCAGTTTGATCTTTAAGTCATTGTACCTGCCAATTCGTAATGAGATAAGATATACTACATGCACAGTATACTATACTGTGACTACATGTTACTTCTTTTTTTGATATGGATACACACATAGGACGAATTAAGAGATTTACAACGTGCCTAATTTTATTGAAATAATTTGTAAAAACAATCAAATTGTACAATAAAAAATGATGGAGATAAAAGTAACAAAGTTGATGTTATTAAATTTAGTACAACTTATTATAAAAACTGTTCAAAATGACCACCATTGTTTCTATTAAGATTAATTCGGCGATGAAATGACACCCTTTGTACCTCTTAGGAGCTATTTTGTAAAACATTTATGGTATTTTGGATATGCCTCCACAACTCCTCTTCAGTGTTAGATGTGGAAGCATACACTGTTGTTTTCAGAGTGCCCCAAAGATAATAGTCACAAGGTGTTACGTCTGGTGAATGTACGGGCCAGTTAACAGAAACATTATCCCTCTAACCATCCATCGACATGGGAATATTTGGTTCAGATACTGGCGGACATTTACAGTGAAATGTGGCGGAGCGCCATCATGCATAAACCACGTGTTAGCTCTGAGTAATAACGGCACATCTTTCAATAACTCCGGTTTTGCAAAAATTCTAAATAAATTTTCCCTTTCAATCTATTGGGTAGAATAACAGACCCAATAATAATGCTATCAATGATCCCAGACCAAACATTGATGCGAAATTCATGCTGATAATGTTTCACTTTGATAGCATATGTGGATTTTCTTGAGCATACACATGTTCATTGTGAATATTTATTATTCCGCTTCTAGTAAAACAGAATTGGCAGGTACAATGATTTAAATATCAAGTTTTAAAAAACACTCTGTATAACACCAAAATTTGTAGATTGAAAGCAAAAGTTCACACCCCAAAAATAATCAAAATCGAATAATACGTATTCGAGTTATTTACAAAATTCAAAAAATTTTCACAAACTTTGCCAAACAAAACACTTTCGGATGTAGGTGAATTAACCTAAATCTGCCTATTCTGAGTCCATGAATCTGTAGTCTTCCGTTGTACACGTTATTTTGGGACACCCTGTATATTGCTTACTGCTTACGACTGAGATGCATACTAATGATCTTTTTTAACTATTAATATTTTTTTATCAGAAAATTTTACACTTACTGGCATTGTCATATGATATGGTTGATCCTTTGTAGGCCTTATAAAGATATTTGTGTAAAAAAAAATTTAAATTGCTTTTTCAAAATATAAGCCCCCCAAAATAAACACTGGCATTTTTTGTGAAAATTATGTATACAAGTATTTTGAGGAATAGGTACATCCCAGCAAGCGTTGCATTCATATTTGAATGACGCAGATTATCTACTAATAAAAAATATATACTTAACTGAAAAACAAATGTTCTTGGCTCCGTACGATTAAAAAAATACTATATTCATTTTTATCTGCCTTAAGAACACAAAAACGAAAAAATTATATAATATTTTAGTATAGCGTAAATATTAATTTTTTTAGGAATGGTACAAGCAGTTAAATCATACTGCTCCATCAGTTCCACAGGACAAGTTGGAGAAAATACTATCATCTGCATTTGCTTTATTAAGTAAAGAAAGTGCTTCCTTGGGTCTGCCTGACTTCCCACTAGACAATTTAACTTTGGCAGCATTAATATGGGTTTGTAATTTTCTACCTATTTTTTAATTTTTTATATAATAAGTGTAATAGTAAATCTATAAATCTATTACATCAATTTTAAGTCACTCTTATAAGGAAAACTTTGTTTTGTATTTGACGTTGATTGAAATATTCTGTCCTTCAGTCAATGTATTTGTTTTTAATTTTTTTGGCGATATTCTGTAACTGTCTCAGTTCAGAAGTTACGAATGTTACATACATACGTAACTAATGTATATAATTGTTGTATTATACAGTTCTTTATGATTGTTTTACATTCTCACATCTTTTTATTTTAAAAATAAATATTATTTTAGGAACAAAACCCTTACCTTACACCTTACGAAGTAATTTATCGACTATACCCTTACAAAACATTCCTGAAAGATGACCACACTAACGTGGAATCTCTGTTGTCTAAGTTTGACGTTTTTCCAGCGGAGGAAGGAGCTCCTTCTAACGTCACCAGCCAATTTCAGGATATGTTAAATACAAATAAACATAAAATGGAAGATTATATAGAAACCAACTATCAAAACACCGTTTTAGAAAGCATGCTCCAGTCAATAAAAGTCGCAGATTTCTGCGTTATTGGACCGTCTGGGTGCGGAAAAAGCTTGTTAGTAAATAAATTGGGCCAGATGTTGAATCAGGAGGCTGAAAATATAGTTTTGTATCAAGATATGACTTCCAGGGACTTACTTCAGCAAAGAACGACTTTAGATAATGGGGACACTGTTTGGAAATTCTCGCCGCTGATTACGTGTGCCTTAGAGGGAAAAATAGCTGTGCTAGATGGTATCGACCGTATTCATCCTAGTACCTTGACTGTTTTACACAGGTATTTTTGGTAAATTTACGAAATCTCCATTTTTTACATTTTTTTTTTTTTTGTAGACTTATACATAACCGCGAACTTCAATTATACGACGGGAAGCGATTGCTGAGTAGCGAACGATATAATTTTCTTCAAGAAAACTTAAAACTGTCCACAGAACAATTAAATGAAAGTGGCATTTTAAAGATACATCCCGATTTCAAAATTGTTGCCATCGGTGAACCACCCAACACACAAACGGTAACCGGGAGCTGGATAACTCCGGAGCTGCTAAGCTTTTTCGTATTCCATGAAATGCGGACGTTAAGTAAAAATGAGGAAATGCACATCATCTCTTCAAAAGTAGGTGTATTTGATTTTTTTTGGTCTATTTAATAAATGGTACGTCATAAGATGACAATTTTAGATCTAAACCCAAATCTATAAAACGTTAATTATTTTATACAGGGTGATTCACATCTTATCCAAAAAAATTTTTGTTAAATCCTTATAGTTTACGAGAAAAAAATTATTGAAGTTGTATTACTTTCCACCATTACATCGCTAGACAACTGTAGTCTCTAGCGTCATTCGTGTTGTGCGATTTACGCAATGCGCGTGGAGAGCCATGTGGTCCCAGCTACTCCGAATACTAAAATTCGATTTTACAATTAGTATTGTGATAGTATTTACAATAGTTTTTTAATAGTTAGTGTCAAAAATGGCTTACGTGTATAGCAACTTGGAGTTGATCGATATCGTTTTAATTTATGTTCAAGCAAAACAACATGTGTTCATAGAAACTGGGTAAGACGGGCCCATATTATAGGTATTATCTGTTATTTGTTAATTTTGGATCTAATAAAAAGAACACAATAGTCGTAAAAATCACAGTTAAATGAATTTTATAATTATACGTGAATTATACAACACAATACCCAATTTATTTGTAATTATGTTTTAGTTTGGACCAATTTCTAAGCCGTTGTATAAATTAATCGAGTTGGCTCATATCCTTCGAACCAGCCAGGATATTTCTTTGAAAAACCTGGCAGGACACCTATCCACAAGACAGTTACTTCGCGTAGCAGCCAGATTAAAACATTTTCCAATCGACAACCCATACGACACAATTCAAGAGATATTCATGATGAAATTCTTACCTTCCCTGACCAGACAAGTTTTAGAAAAAACTATAAGGAACATTGGAATATCACCAAACAAAAAAAAGGCGCACATTGCTAAAGTTAAGTGCGAGATTAATGACAATATTTTGACTATCGGGAATTCATCAGTCCCGATTCGTAGCAGCGAGAATATAATAAAGGTTCCGAACATTTTATTTTACGACGTGCCGCAACACCTACTCCTGATGGAAAAACTTTTGCAAGACTTCCAGCTCGGGTCCCATTTGCTTTTGGTCGGTAACCAGGGTGTGGGCAAAAATAAAATAGCCGACAGATTTCTGGAATTGTTAAACAGGTCGAGGGAGTACATTCAGTTACACCGCGACACGACCGTGCAGACTCTGACCACCCAAGTGACCATCAAGGATGGACAGTTGGTTCACGAGGACTCATCGTTGGTTAGAGCTGTTAAAAACGGTCGCGTCCTGGTGGTCGACGAGGCTGACAAAGCACCGATCCACGTAACCTGCATACTAAAGACTTTGGTGGAATCCGGACAGATGACGTTAAGCGATGGGAGGAAAATCGTGTCTGTAATTCCAAACGGACAGAATCCCGCTAATTTTATACAAAGCCATCCGGATTTTCGAATGATCGTCCTGGCGAACAGACCAGGGTTCCCGTTCCTCGGGAATGACTTTTTCGGCGCCTTAGGAGATTTGTTCAGCAGTCATTCCGTCGATAACCCTTCGGAAGAATCGGAAATTGAGCTTTTAAGACAGTACGGCCCCCGTGTGCCTCTGGATACAATTAAGAAGTTAGTAAGCATTTTCGGAGAGCTCAGGGATATGGCCGATCAAGGACTGGTCAATTATCCGTATTCTACAAGAGAAGTTGTGAACATCGTGAAACATTTAGAGGTGAGCTTTATAGATATTAATTTTTCTGAATTCTCATCAAACGAAATGCTTAGCCAAGCTTTAGTTATAAACATGTGTGCTGAATTCCTTCTTTATTTTCAAGGTAAAAGGTTTTAAAATCAAAAAAATATACTTTAAACCACAAAAAATTGGCTGAAGCTTTGACATCGATCTCTAATTTATTGTCACTGTGCCAGTTTAGTAAATTTATTCGCAATACAGGCACACAGGTCCTTTCTTCAAAATGAAAAAAAAAAAAAAAAAAATGAAAAACAACCCATTAAAACAAATAACTTCACTAGAATATTTGTTCTCTTATTCTCTAATAATTTTCACTATATAAGACACGTTCCTACCTCAAATGAAAGCTAAAATAGAATTTACTTACACTATTTACAGCCACAACTATTCACCTCCTTTCACCTCCTTTTATACAGGGTGTGTCATGTATAATCTATAAAAATTAAACTACAGCTTCCTAACGATATTTGTAATAGAAAAGTCTTATACGAAAAAGTTATGTTTTTGCATTTTTTTTTCGTAAATTAAAGTTCAATTATGGATCAAAATATTTTCTCTGGAACCGTGTGCTGTACGATGAGTTACGTGTTGTAGACCAACTGCGTAAACAAATCGTCATTGAAAGATAGAAAGATACTTCTCAATTTTTGGGTAATTTTTCAATGCAAAAGTACAAAGTAAGAAAAATAGATATATAAAAAAATCTGTTATTTTCTTATTATAATAACTAATAGTAATTACTATCTTAAATGCATTGTTGTTACTGCAAGAGTTCGCAAACAAAACTACATCCGTAAGCATCTGTAGTTGCCAACTGCGTGCACTAAACAAACTCCATTAAAATATGGAACAAAATAAAATAAAACTTACCATTTATAGAGAAAATGTTGAAATTGATCCCCATTAGCGCGGATACAGGTATGGCACCAACGCTCCCAATTTTGGTGAATATTTTTCCAAATTCCAGGTATTCCCCTAATTGTGTCAGCAGCTTCAAGTATACGGTTTCACAATCCTTCCACCGTATCAATTGAAGTATTGTAAACCAATGACATCAAGTGACTCCAGAGATAAAAATCCATTGGAGTTAGATCGGGTGCTCGAGGTGGCCACAGCACAGAACCAAAGTGTCCAATCCATCGCTGAGGAAACATTTTATTTAAAAGTGTCGTTACTTCTCGAGTACTGTGTGGAGGATCTTGAAGATAAAACATGCGTGCCCGAACTTGTAATGCCACATCGTCTAATAATTCAGGCAACCTGTTCTCCAAAAAATCCGCATATGTTGGTCCATTTAGTCGTCCATCAAAGAAATAGGGACCCACAAGTACATCGCCTATTATGCCAGCCCAAACATTTACCGGGAACCAAGGTTGAAAATGAGTTTCCCTAATCGCGTGAGCATTTTCATCGGCCCATGTGCATATTGTGGAAATTCACTTCATCAGGGGTAAATGTCGCCTCATCTGTTACATAAGCAGGAAAGTCTACTTGATTGGCACATTGCCGTAAAAACCATCTGCAAAAACGCATTAGTTGATCACAATCCGGGGGTAAAATCTGTTGAACTGGTTGCAGATGATAGGGGTGCAACAGCTCGCGCCTTAAGATGCGATGTACGGTTCTATATGAGGTTCCTGCTTGCCGTGCGAGTCGTCGAGTACTAATTGTGGGGTCTTCGTCAAGATTTTCCAACACTGCATCTTCAACATTAAGGTTCACTTGCTGACCACATCCTCCTCGAGGAATAACACTTCCCGTATCTTGAAGCCACTGAACATACTGTAAGATTGTATTTGCATGGGGGGTGACGTTGTGGCTATCGTTCCCAGTACAACCTAGTCGCCGCAAGAGCATTTTCTCCTGCTGCACCATACACTAACACCATACTGATACGTTCGGAAATAGTAAATGCATTGTTTTCTCGGTTCATTGTATAACTAGTTTGTGCACAAACTAAAAAATTAAGCAAAGTAAGAAATAAGAATCTCGTTTTTAATATAATCAGCACGATATTCTTATTTTTTACTTCTTTATAAAAATTACACTGTTACTATCGTGGAATTACAAAATAAAAACTTTTGTCTGGAATCTTTCACTTTTTAACACTGATGGGTCGATGAACGATGCTTAATATTTAATAAGTAAGTGAACAATGAATTCACAAATACAAAATCAGTTGACTGCACAAATTTTTTGGCAATGTAACCTAACCTTCTTTTAGTATTACAAGTATTAGGTTATACCGACTTAAATTATCAGGTTGCATCTCGGGTCGCATAAAAACATTTCCAAGTTTTTGATAAATAATAGGATCGGCCTTCATTTTTGTTGAATAAATTAACTTTAATTTACAAAAAAAAACGCGAAGATAGAACTTTTTCATATAAGAGTTTCTATTACAAATATCATCAGGATGCTGCAGTTTAATTTTTATAGATTATATACGCCACACTCTGTATAGTATGTAAGGCGGGGATGATTCCAGTGGTTCTCAATAAGTTTTAGTAATTATTAGTTTTAAGCATCTTCCTGGTTTCAACAACTTTGATTGCTTAAAATGCTTATTATTAGTGTGTTCTACCTTGAAATATTGATAAATAAATGATTTGATTTGATAAGAATTTAAGAAAATTTGTAAAACTACTTTATAGTCAAATTCCGTTAAAATAATGGTGCTGAATCTAAAAAACAAAGCCCAAAAAATTAGTAGAGAAGACACCTATTAGTACAACTTGTTTCTAGCAATTTCCAAATTCTGATATAGAAGACATCGTATTCAACGTGTTTGATTTCGACAAGTACAGCCCCGAGTTGATAGACACTCTAGGCGAAGTTCTAGTGAAGCACGGATTTTCCAATCGGAATATCATAACGGCCGAATATGCAGCAGCGAAAAGAGCAAAGGAAAATGTCCAGGTGACAGTAAAGCGATACAGTGGGTAAGATACGATCGGTAAGGTAAGCATTTCAAAGTGACATTATTTCCGTAATAGGTTGGACACGAAAGGACCAAAACACGGAAAAGAAGACCCTGAAAACGAACCTCATGTTGGAGGAAATACTTGGGCTGGCGGCACCGGCGGGAGGGACACTGCGGGTCTAGGAGGAAAAGGAGGTCCCTATAGACTAGATAAGGGTCACAAAGTACATCAAGTAAGTATATAACTATTAAGGTCTACTGTCTTCGTCGCTCCTACTATGAATTCTCTTCTTGATCTGTACATCTCGCGGACAATTTCGGCCAATAATAAATTCGAATGAAATTCCCCAGCTTTCAGATGAAGAGAAAATCGCCGTTCCCGAACACGTACAGAACGCAGCCAGGGAAATGGGCAGGAAAGCATTTCAAGAGAAATTACGGGAAATAGGTATGAGCGGGTATGACCATTCCATTTACTCGCAGTTTTCTAATGCAGTAGCCAAACAGGTCCAATCTTTAAGGGTCATTCTGGGTAATTTACAGGCTAAGAATAAAGAGAGGCAGTGGTACCGTCACCAGACCTCGGGGGAGTTAGACGATGTTAAATTAATAGACGGTAATTGCAATTTTTTTTAAAACCAATTTTTGTATATTATGAATAAATTTTGATATTTGCGCGATATTAACAATTCTAGGATTACTCGGAGAAAAAACTATTTTCCGACGTCGATCCGAGCAGGAGCCAGAGCTAGGAACCCCTCAGTTGAAACCGAAGTTATTTAGAGTTGTAGTGGACGTCTCGGGGAGTATGTACAGATTTAATTCGTACGACGGTCGGTTGGACAAAGAACTAGAGGCGGTAGTATTAGTGACGGAAGCATTCCAAGGATTCGAGGACAAAATAAAATACGACATCCTTGGCCATTCCGGGGAAGCGCCAAATATTGTCTTTGTCTCAAGAGAGGATCCTCCCAAAAACAATAAGGAACGGTTGGATTTAATAAGGGTGAGTGTTGGCATACTATACTATAAAGTTTTCATAAATGATTACAAGCCATGTGATCGCTGGACTTAGGCAACCAACATTGCACGATTGGCATTTTCAACGTAAATCTTAGCATCATTGATATTGTTTATATTCCAGACTATGCACGCTCACTCCCAGTACTGTTGGTCCGGAGACAATACTCTTGAATCAACGAAATGGGCCGTAACGACTTTAGCCGAAGAAGACTGCGACGAAGCTATATTAGTGGTATTGTCGGATGCTAACCTGCAGCGATATGGAATACCTCCTTCCGAGCTTACCGAAGCACTCACCTGTAAGAGGAACGTTAGCTCTTACGTTATATTTATCGGCAGTTTGGGAGACCAGGCCGAAAGGTAAACTATCCAGTTTAATATTTTTATATTTATTTGTAATGGAATATATCGTATAGGGAATACGTTGGAACAGAATCAGGATAACAGTACTAATAAAAATAGCTCAAATATTTAAATTATTAAATTTATTTATTTAAATTATTTGTTCAAAAGTGAAAATCACCAATATTAAAAGTAATAGTTATTCAAGAACTAATCATATACAGAAATTCTCAGGATATAAAAAATTGTCTATAGAGAACATTAAAAAATACAGTGTGTCCAAGATAAGGATGGGATAGCATCAAGATCTAGGAAACGGTAAGAGGTACGCGGTGGTTTAAATTAGAAAAAAGTTTTTATAACTAACAATCTGCCGTTTTTTTATTTGAAAACGAAATTTAAAATAAATTGCATATTTACAATGCCACCACTTTCTTCGCTCTATCCAATGGCGTCAACATTTTTGCAATCCGACGTTTCATCTTTGAGGGGCCATCATCAGGTTAATTTTTTTAAATACGTCGCTGCTATTTTTATGACAATATCTAAAGTCATTTTAATTCTGAATTAGATGATATTACTATTGTAGCAGCGACGTATTTAAAAAAAATTAACCTGACGATGGTCCCTCAAAGACGAAATGTCAGATTGAAAAAATGTTGACGCCATTGGATAGAGTGTAAAAAGTGGCAATGTAAATCTGCAGTTTATTTTAATATTTGTTTTCAAATAAAGCCAGAAAAAAAAATAAAACGATTTTGCAAAATTTAGGGTTTTTCCAAATATCTCCGGAACTACCCAGAATTTTAAAACTTTCTAAACGGCATATTATTAGGTACAAAAAAAACAACTATTTTCTAATTTGAGCCACCCTGTATCTCTTACCGTTTCCTAGATCCTAATGCTATCCCATCAAAATCTTGGACACATTGTTTCAATTTTTTTTAGTAAAAAAATATGTCAGTTTATTATACAGGGTAGGAAAGTACCGATGGTCTATCTGAAGTTACGTGAGAGCGATAAAGTAAGCCATAGAAATCCATGTGATAGACAAGGATAGTGAAGGCGTCTAAAAGTCACCGCCCATTTTGCCCTTCCACAAATAAGAAGTGGATCTTATTTGTGGAAGGGCGAAACGGGCGGTGATTATGAGACGCCTTCATTATAGCCATCCTTCTATCGCATGGATTTCTATGGCTTACTTTATCGCTCTCACGTAACTTCAGATAGACCATCGGTACTTCCCTACCCTGTAGAATGAGCTGTAACATTTTGAGGCAAGCTTGGATAGAAACATTTTATTGGAAATATAAAATTGAATAACGATTTTTAAATGTATTTCTTTTTAGGTTACTGCAACAGTTACCAGCTGGACGAGCTTTTATTTGCAGTGATACTAGTCAATTACCACAAATTTTAAAACAAATATTTTCGTCTTCTGTAGTAAATATATGACATATGCAATGTACATAATAGTAAATTGTACTTATAATGTATATACATTTTAAAACATGATTTATAAAATATATAATATATTTACATTAAAACACAATATTCTGTTTCCTCGGCTGTCATTGGTCCAATTTTTCTGATCAATCAATCAGCGATCGCATTTTGTCGAGCATAGGCGTAACGGTTTGTCACTGTTCATTGTAAACGAATCTTGAATATTGCTGACGGCAAGATTTAGGGAATTTTTGTTACCGGTACCAATCGTGCAATGTTGGGTTACCTAAGCTCATCGGTCACGTGGCTTGTAATCATTTATGAAACTGGAACATAAGAACTGCTATTTGTTTTTCCCTCTTTAAAATTTTTGTAAAATTTGTACGTCAATTTAGGGTTCGACTATGCATTGCAGAATTGTTAAAACAGACTGTAGTGTTAGTAATACATAGTTGTATTACTAACATTTTCAATTTAAGAAATTTTATAAAAAGAAATCAGTGGAACTGGGATTTGGTGATCTGATATTTTCAGAAATACGAGGTTTGATCAAAAAGTAACAGGAATTGTGAATTTTCTCAGAAAATATTTATTTGATCTTCAATTTTTATCCCATCCCCTTCAAGGTGGACCCTCTTTGATATTATACACTTATGCCAACGTAGTTCCCAGTTTGAGAAACACTTTAGGTATCGTCTTGAGCACGGTTTGTGATTTTGCTTTTATCTCGTTTATTGTTAAAAAAACGTCTTTTGAGTATCCTTTTCAGTTTGGGAAATAGAAAAAAGTCATAGGGGCCATGTCTGGAGAATGTGGTGGTTGCAGCATCACAACGGTGATGTGTTTCGCCAAGAACTGTTGCATAAGCAAAGTGATTGTTATGGTGCAAAATCTACAAATTGTCTCTTGTGTTCTTGTTATTTTCTCCTGATTGTCTCATGCAAATTGCACAAATCTTGTAGGTATTACTTCTTGTTATAGTCTGTCCGAAGTCAGTTGAATATGTAAAAAAACGCCTGGCATCCCTAAAAGAGTTTTCTACTAAAGGAAATAAATTATAATAATTTGTATATAATGTGTAGAACATTTCTATTATATGTTCATTTGGCTAACAACATATTTTAATTATTTATGTCCTCAAACAATTTTATTATGATTATATTGATGGTAAATTTCGTTTTGTTCCGTTTCAAAAGGTCTCCATTAAAATTACCTGAATCACACCAAATTCCGCATTGCTGCACTGCACTGCTGGGCAATCTGTCAACCACTTGTCAACAGCTGAGATTTATTGCCCAGTGGCCCAATGCAGCTGTGTTTGTATTTCGTTTGCCGGCGCTCGCATTCTTCAGCTGGGCCACCTCCACATTTAGTTCGACCAGACTTTTATATGGGTATGGCTAAATAAATATGGGAACAAGTTTTTCAAATATTCCAATGCCGAGTTGCTGCGTCAGCGACCAAACCTGGTCCATACTGTCAACCTCTTGGTGGTTCAATTGATATTGGAGACTGTAACTGTATGACTGGGCAGTAAAAATTCCTGATTAACTATCCCATTGAAGTCAAAGAAAACGGTTCACATTTGATCAGATCCCGCCTCATCTTTGGTGTGACATAGTATCATCGCTAAAGGCCTTCCTTAACATTTTAAAGGCACTTCCCTCTGATCCGACATTTTGCCACACAAAAAATTGCCAAAAACTGAGGTAAATCTTACTCATTCTCTCGCTAAACACAAACCAGGGTTCGTAGCGGCCGGGAAAACCGGGAATACCGGGAAAAGTCAGGGAATTCGTTATTCTTCATAAAAAACAGGGAATAGTCAGGGAATTTTAAAAATATTCATGAAAGTCAGGGAATTTAATGTTTGTAACTGGAAATTTTGTGAAAGCCGGCCCTGTGTTCTTGAAAGAGAAAACTATTTGTGGTTTTGAAACCTTTATAAGAGGTTCTTAGGGTATAAAAAAGATTATGGAGTCCAGTCGAGAAAAAATTTAATGCATAAACACCAATTAGTATGTAAAAATGAACTACAAGTGACCTGGATTTTATTTTTATAAGTCAGGGAAAACCTGGAAAAGTCAGGGAATTCTTCATTACTTTTGAACTATGAACCCTGCAAACTAAGCGTGGCAACTGCTTAAAAATTGACAGGTACATCACTAACAGTGCTACCAATACACAAAGAAAGAATTAATTCAATAGACAAGATACAACACACACAATTTGAAAATTCCCGTTACTTTTTGATCAAACCTCGTATTTACACCGTACCACATATTTATATAGCAGAACAAACATTCATTCTCCTATCGAAAAAAATCAATATTGTTATTTACGATGCAGCTAACTTAACAAGATATAAGCCCTAATAACAGCGACAAAAGTGTAAGTCCACAAAATGTTACCAATTTATTACTTACGCCTCTAATTCCAATTTACTGGTGAAATAGACACATAAATTTTTTTCATTCTCCACATTTGATAACTTGTACAAAAACTTAGTATTCCTCAATTATCAAGGTGATAATTGAAAAAATTATATAAAATAACAAAACTGAGCTATAAACAGGAAATGCAGGCGTCAAATAATGTATGAGTGCCATCATTTCTTTCTACACTCTGTTGAAGTACAAGTAAGATGGCCTTCTTCCGTATCGCCCAGCAAATGTGTGTATTCTTCATCAAAAAATGATAACTTACATCTTACGTACAAGCAAAGGGTCATGTTTGTTAAAAAAAATTAATAAATTAAAAACAAATTCATAAAAATGTAGTATGTACGATCCATCGTTTGATTTACTAGCAAATATTTAAAATATAATTATTTGGCAGTAATTTTTGATCTACAAAAACATAAATATTTAAAAAATATATTTGCAAATACTGTCCAAAATTAATAAATAATGCATTATATGATAGGTATACAGGGTGTTTATTAAGTACTTGTACAAACTTTAAAGGGTGAATCTTTGACTCATTTTAAGATAAAAAGTTCATAATAGGTCCGCAACGGCTTGGTTCTGGAGATACAGGGTGTCCAAAAAAAAATTTTGTAAGTTAAATCATTGAGTTTTTGAAAAACAAGGGAAAAAGAGTGATGTGCACACTACACACTAACACTTTACAAATTACTTTCACCAAATTAGTGAAAATTAGAAAAAATAAAAATTTGCAAAAGTATAATCAACATACTAAAATTTTTTTTGGGCACCCTGTATCTCAAGAACCAAGCCGTTGCAAACCCATATTCTTATGAACTTTTTATCTTAAAAATTAGTCAAAAATTCATCCTTTAAAGCTTGTATGTACCTACTTAATAAACAATAATAGGTGTAATTTGTGCACTATTCTCCCAGCAAAGTAGAATCTTTAAAAAACCCCGCACAAAATGAATGGAAATTGGGTCCTGCTAGATTTCGCTGGAATTGTGATATGTTATAGCTCGACATTCTGATGAAAAGTTATCATGGGCCCAAAGTGATCCTATGGATAGTTTCAGAGATATATAGAGGGGGGAAGTGTCTGATTTTGGCTGTAGGACTGAGTAAGCTTCACGAAGTTTCAAGTTGATGGATTCAAAAAGGGGCATGTAATGAATTATGACCAGTAGGTACAATGCTTTTGGGATCGCTGAACCTGAATTCTTGGATAGCTTAGCTATCTAAGGTTAGCTGGAGGTCAGGTACGTTTCAGCGTAACTCTAAAGGTCACCTTAAAGTCAATTCAAGGTCATTTCAAGATGAAACCAAAGGAAAGACTTTTATTGAATTTCAACCTGTGCGTATGTTTTTTTTGGGGGGGGAATTAGTTTAGCCCGACAAGGCCACATTTGGGTCAAGTCAAGATCATTTCAAGGTCAAAGTAGTCCTTTCACGAATGTTATCCTGTATGTATGCTTTTGAAGTCGCTAAACCTGAATTCGAGGATAGCTTAGCCCTATAAGGTCACCTGGAAATTAAGTCAAGGTCATTTAGTTTGACATAATTCAAGCCCCGCAGGTTCTTTAGTTACGCTTTATGTTAATGTGATGTATTTTTGTTATAAATCATATTTTAAAAAGGGGTAAGGTACATAAAAATAATGATAATAGTCTTAATTTGCATACATTTATTTACCTTAAAAATACAGAAAATTGCAAAAAAAAGAAACGTTCATTTAGTGTCCCCTTCTTGTGGCTCACCCTTGGTCAAATAACAAAATCTCATTGTAAGATCAGTGAGACTGAAAAAAACTGCACTGTAAAATTTGTATCGACTCGGGGGTCCCTATTTGACCATTACCAATTTGTATTTATAGTCAATTTTACAATACTTGTCCAGTAACTGGACACAACGTAAAAAAGTCGTATGTATGTACAGAAAACTTTTAAACTACTAGTTCTTAAATTATTCAGTCATTGTTTAAAGTTGATAAATCAGAACAAGTTTGTGAATTAGATGACAAAGATCCAAATTTCAGAGGACTCGTTGCCACAGCCCTAGTCTCTAACTTAAACGGTGATAAATTAACGTTTTTCATATTTATTCGAGTCTGAACGTATTTACTTCTAAAATGTGGCTTGACAGATACTCCAATGTCCCTATAAGTTTTTTTAACTTCTTCAGCGGCAACTATCGGGAGTAAAGATACTTCTTGGAAGATAACATGTCCAGTAAATGGTGCGAAAATAGTTTCATTAGATGCTGTACACTCAGTAAATGATGTAGAAGCAATCGCATCATCCATACCACTTCGATTGATCTGCGTTATTGTGGCAGGCGCTGCTAATTGTGATGACGTTCGTTTCCTCTTTGGTTGAAAATCGAATATGTGAGGCACAACATTCGCTTTCAAAATTAATTTTCCCCCCACTAGTTTGAACTTCAAAAAATTTTTCATGTCCTCTTTTAGCTAAAATTCAACACATTTAAATTACACACCGCTATTCTAAAAAATTACCAAAATAGTGAATTTGGAAAACCACATATACTTAACACTCACGTTAAAATGGTCCTCACACACGTGTGCTCTACTTTTCGACTGTAAACTGGCTGGATCTCTTTTGCATGCTTCCAACCACTGTTTTCGCCTTGAGGGTTCTTCCGGGACCCTTATAAATAATTTTTCTGGTGTTGTGAAGGTGGTATTAGAACACATAGGAGTTATACAGTATTTATAATACGTTGGAGCCATTTCGGACGTTGAAAATACAAGATATCACTACCACAAACCATATAATTACATATCACAAGTGACAACGTAGGTAGTTGTAAATAATTGTAAGCTTCCGAAAAATAATTATCATGATCACTAAATCCGTTGACAGAATATTTATATTTAACAACAAACCGGCCAGGCTATCGTTAAGGTTAGATCAACGCCACGCACGGCATGACATCACACATTAAGGTCTATCCGCATGGCACGAAAATTGAAACGAAATCCGAATATGGAATTTGTTTACGACCAATCGCAGGTTTACATTAAACCTAATTTAAATTTCTGAGAATTTCTTCTCAAAGTGAGTGAATAAAACAAACAGCCTTTCTATTCCATCTTAAATGTGTCAGCTCCGTGCACAAATATTGGAAAAAATAGAGGTAAAAGACTGAAATTTATCCGAGTAAGGCTTTAGAGCATATACTACTGGAGGCAGCGTTCCAATGGCCGAGAGTGTGGCGGAGGTTTAGAGAGAGAAATTTGCTATCTCTCTCTAGCAGCACGCGATTGCATGTTGCTAGAGAGATACCATTGTGAAAATTGGGCAATTGACAGCGTGCGCACTATCTCCATCTCTTTAAATATATAGTTCGCGCGCCATTATTCTATGGCTAGAAATTGGCCTCAATGATTTGGGATCGAGGGGGATTATCCCTCTTTATCCTGCCTCATCTCGTGTAGGCCTGGACAGCCTTCGTAGGTGGGCCCCATCCGTCGTCTACCCCGACCGCAAATGCGGCCGGTGTAGGCGCTTTGTGGGACCTCCTTTTGTCCTGGCTGGGCCCCGCCGGCTAGGGCCCTTTCTTCTGGCGCTCTTCTTGCTTCGCCGGCTCGTCTGTGTAAACCCCGGGGGTAGTGTCATGTTTATGTGTGGTATGGTTGGGTAGGGTAGTGCGGCTATGCAGCCTGGGATGCGCTTTGCTAAGGTGGCCCTTAGGCTAGCGCGGGAGGG